TTACAAATTGTTTTGTGCTTCCATTTCTTAGTCTTCAATTACAATTACATTGCATATAATCTCGTATTTTCAATCAAAAATTAAATACCTTAGTATCATTATTAATCAATCATTTGACTATACTTTTGTTCATTCATGTTTTACAAGATAATCATAATTTACTTAGTTTGTTTTTATAACAGTTCATATTATCACCCCAAATCTATCCTAAAATCATTTTGTAGATATAATAAGAAAGAAGTACATCTTTATATATTTATTATTTTCTAAGAGTCTACATATTTCATTACTGTATTTTATTGTCTAACCATTGATAGAATAGATCCCAAATTTTATAAAATTGTTTATCCTCTTGTTCCCTAATTTCAAATGTCAATCTACTCATTTCAGCACATTCCAATATTTATAAAAGCAACATCTTACCATAGCTGTCAAAATATGTCTACTGCTATGACAATATTAAAGAACCATTTATCAGCCTACTAATATCACTCCACCATCATATAACACTGGTGCCATTGTCTAGCTATATTTGGTTTTATTTATTTACTAACTAACTTATTTTACTGATTTATTTATTTCTAAGGGACGCGGTGGCTCAGTGGCTGAGATGCTGAGCTTGTTGGTCAGAAAGGTTGGCAGTTCGGCGGTTCGAATCCCTAGCACCACGTAATGGAGTGAGCTCCTGTTACTTGTCCCAGCTTCTGCCAACCTAGCAGTTTGAAAGCACATAAAAATGCAAGTAGAAAAATAGGGATCATTTTTGGTGGGAAGGTAATAGCATTCTGTGTGCTTCCGGCATTTAGTCCTGCTGGCCACATGACCACGGAGAGCGTCTTCGGACAGCGCCGTTTCTTCGGCTTTGTAATGGAGACGAGCATCACCCCCTAGAGCCGGAAACGACTAGCACATATGTACAAGGAGGGGAACCATTACCCTTTTAACCTGCAATTATTGTTTGTTTTAACAAGTAACTCAAGGCGGTGAACATAACCAACATACCTTCCTTTTCCTATTTTCCTTACCACAACAACAACCTGTGAGGTGAGCTGGGTTCACAGAAAGGCACTAGGCCAAAGTTACTCAATTGGCCTTCACGGCTAAGGCAGAACTAGAACTTCCGGCGCCTGGATTTCTAGTCTGGTGCCTGAACAACTAGTATTTCTCATATCAAGGCTCCAGCATGCACCTCCATTCAAATCATAAGTCTCTAGCCGCATCTCTTAAAGTAAAAAAGATTGATTTATTAGGAGTTAACATGCCAGCGTTTCCTGGTTGCAACTCTGACACATCATTCATTTCACCCTTGACCCCAGTCTTCCCCCCACCCCCTGGATGTATATTCTCCAATGAGACACATCCATAGCCAAGAGTCATCAATCATGCTCTCCAGTAATAATTTTGCGTGCCAACAGCTTCGGTGGCAAAGGTGATTATCTGAAGTATTTAAGGAATGCGCTGCTTTCTCCAGCTCCCTTTCTGCTGGCAACTAAAAAGACCAAAGTAGTATTTTTTAAGTTGACATCTCAACTTTGATAATTTGAAGATTTGTGGACTTCCACTCAAGCCACCCAGCTGGCTTTCATGGCTAAGGTGGGATTAGAACTCACAGTCTCCTGGTGATTGGGGTGGAGATCATGGGGATGCTGCAATTGTCATCAGTCTGAAAAATGATCATAAGCAGGGGGTGGGATTCAGCCGGTTCTGACCGGTTCAGGTGAACCAGATATTAAATGTACATCTGGTTCACTGAACAGGTAGTTGAACCGACTGGCTCGCCCCACCCACACCTCCCCTCCCTGGAGTCTCCACGCAGCCCGTCTTGGATGCAGAAAAGTGCAGAGTCTGTGTGGAGGCTCTGGGAGGGGGAAAACGGGCCTTTCAGAAGTTTCAGAAGTCCAGAAATGGGCCTGTTTCTGGCTTCTGGAAGGCCTCCAGAGCCTGGGGGAGGCTGTTTTCACCCTCCCAGAGGCCCGAGGGAAGCCTCCTGACTCTGGGGAAGGTGAAAAATGGCCCTCCCGGAAGTTCCAGTAGGCCGTGCCCACCATGGCCACACCCACCCAGGAACCAGGCAGAGAACCAGTTGTTGAGACTTTTGAATCCCATCCCTGGACATAAATCCCCTTTTTTCAGTGCTGTTGGAACTTTGAATGGTCACTAAATGAACCTTTGTAAGTTGGGGACTACTAGTACAAATATTTGTGAGCCAGTCAAAGCATGCCTGAGTTTAATACAATCCCTCAAATGTAGAAGTTCAATGGACTAGTTATACCTAACTTAGACTACCTTATTTTTATTTTACTTATGATGAAATTCATATCTTCTTGGCCAATTAAAAGCACACCTGGAATCATTTTCTGGCACCAGGCATCCTTTATTTATTATGTCGTTAGGAGCATCCCACAAGGTCATTAAAAAACTTGTTTACCAAAATAATTTTTATCGGAGCCTTAAATGCTTTAAGCTACAGCGGAGATCAGGTGACAGGGAAGGAGCATTGTGATAAAACATGTGTCATAACATCACAACGTGAACCCAACACTTTAAATTGGGAGGTTAATCGTCATTATCTCCCATCATCCTGACCAGGAGCTTTTCATAACAAAGGTACGTACACAGCACACTAAATTCCATTTTTTTTGCCTGAATGAAACGCATAGAATAGAAAGGAAAGGAAAGGAAAGGAAAGGAATGGAATGGAATAGAATAGAAAATTAGAGTAGAATCGAAAACATGGAATGGAATAGAATAGACCAGGGGTCGCCAACCTTTTGGACCTCAGGGACCACCAAACTTATAATTTTAGATCCCAGGGACCACTAACTGGTTCTGGGGGCGTGGCCTAGTTTGTGGGTGTGGCTTGGTCATGTGACTGGCTGGGCATGACTTGTATGTAAATATTATAAATATATAAATATATATAAATATTGAATTTGTTTATAAAAACAGAGCAACTTCTACCCAAAATCAGGCAAAGTAGGCAGGCAGATTGAGTTGCTCACAGAATAACAGATTCATTCAGAGATCTATCTATCTGCCATTGGCTAGCTCAGTCTATCACATAAAATTTGCTTGCAAGCAAACTCATAAAATTTGCTAGCAAGAAAACTCACAAAATTAGCTCACAACACACCATGCATGTAAATATTGATTTTTTTATTTTAAAAAAAGAGCAACTTTTACCCAAAATCAGGCAAAGCAGGCAGATTGAGTTGCTCACAGAATCATTCAATGGTCTATCTATCTGCCATCGGCTAGCTCAGTCTCTCAAATTTGCTTGCTGTGAGTCTCCACTGAATTTGATTGCAAGCAAACCTTCAGTCCTAAGGGAGGCTTGGCTGTGCTGAGCCGATGATCTAAAGACTAGCTAGAAAGCAAGAAATCCAACCATTTCCTGCTTCCTCTCTACTCTAAATCTCCCGGCACAGCAGAACAGATGATGGTCAGAAAAAGGAAAAATAGAAATTTAGCAGGCAAGTTTGCCAGGTAAGGAGTGAGCGGGCGGGGAGGGTTCCCTTGGGTCATGTGGGCTGAGTTGTGTTTCTGTGCAGCCTGGATTAATTGCTTTGTGGGGGTGCTCTGGGGGTGAGATTTCTCTGTGGCCCACCAAAATTTTCTCACGGCCCAACAATGGGCCACGGCCCACCAGTAGGCAACCACTGAACTAGACTAGAAAACATGAAATGGAATGGAATGGAATGGAATGGAATGGAATAGAATAGAATAGAATAGAACAAGAATAGAACAGAACAGAACAACAATAGAACAGAATAGAACAAGAATAGAACAAGTATAGAATAGAATAGAATAGAATAGAATAGAATAGAATAGAATAGAATAGAATAGAATAGAATAGAATAGGAGCTGGAAGCAGAGGTAGGTATTCAGCAGGTTCTGACCAGTTCTGGAGAACTGATAGTGGAAATTTTGAGTAGTTCGGAGAACTGGCAAATGCCACCTCTGACTGGAGATTTTACAGTATCCTTCCCCTGCCACGCTCACCAAGCCACACCCACAGAACCAGTAGTAAAAAAAAACTTGAATCCCACCACTGGCTGGAAGGAATCTTGGAGGTTGTCTAGTCCACCCCCCTGCTTAATCAGGACACCATATACCACCTCAGACAAGTGACTGTCCAGTTCCTTTTTAAAAACCTCCAGCGATGGAGCGCCCACAACTTCTGAAGGCAAAGCTGTTCCACCGGTTAATTATCCTCACCGTTAGCAAGTTTCTCTCTAATTCCAGGTTGCTTCTCTCTTTGATCAGTTTCCAACCATTGTTTCTTATCCTGCCTTCTGGTGCTTTGGAGAATAATTTGACCCCCTCCTCTTTGTGGCAGCCCCTACGATACTGGAATACTGCTATCATGTCACCCCTGATTCTTCTTTTCTATGGACTAGCCAGACCCAACATCTGCAGCCATTCTTTGTATAGTTTGTGGTCTGAATCCAAAGTCTTAAAACCTAACTAGGATAAATATATCAGTCAAACCTGGCACATCACACAAAGTCATTGCATCAGCAAAAGGGTTTGTGGGGGAAAAAAAATCCAATGGATGCATTCATAGAATATAGAACAACAGAGTTGGAAAGGGACCTTTGAGGTCTTCTAGTCCAGCCCCATATGCTTAGGCAGGAAACCCTACACCACTTCAGACAAATGGCTATCCAATCTCTTCTTAAAAACTTCCAGTGTTGGAGAATTCACAACTTCTGGAGGCAAGTTGTTCCATTGATTAATTGTCCTGTCAGGACATTCCTCCTTAGTTCTAGGTTGGTTCTCTCCTTGATGAGTTTCCACCCATCGCTTTTTGTCCTGCTTTCTGGTGCTTTGGAAAATAGGTTGACCCCCTCTTCTTTGGGGCAGCCCCTCAAATATTGGAACGATTCTATCATGCCTTCCTATTCAAACAATGATCTGCCTGTGAATACTCCCTATAAAACAAGAGTTGTGCATTCTCCATATTAAAAACTGAACACGTGCTGGCTTTTACTACTTACGATTCGGCTACCCTTTGCAAGAGGCCGCAGTAAAATAAGACATGTTTGGAGCTTCTGTCTTGGTGGAATTATACACACATTCAGAGATAATCCCCAAAGAATGTGCATTGCATCTAAATCGCCCCATTTTCCGTTCGTTTCAACTTTTAGGTTGCTGCCAAGAAACACATTTCAGCTGTTGGGGACTTTGGAAAAAAATAATAACATTTAAAAAATTTTAAAACCCAAACTGAGCAAACTATTTATAGACAATCGAAGGGTAAGCCTACCCAGGAAGATAGCAAATAGAAGTCAAGGGGAAAAAAGGAGACAGAAAGGAAAGAATAAGAAGCATGCCAGCAAATATTGGTTTTTCCACACGCCCTGTCCCGCGGAAAGGAACCAAATATAGAAACTATCAGGTGATAAGAAGGACTTTGTTTAACAAGTATGGTCAATGGATTAGTCCTCCTGAAGAGGAGGGAATTGAGGCTGGAGGAAATAAGCCTCTGTGTTTTGGTGCACCTGCCAAGCCAAAGGAGATTTCATTGGGGAATAAAAAAAATGAAAGAAAAAAAATGAGTTTATGGCTAGTCTTCAACTCACAATGATCCGTTCGGGGACTGTTTGACAGTTCATGTAGTGAGTTACGACGACGCTGTAAAACAATGACTTATGACCCTTTTTAACACTTTGTAGAATCCCCAATATCACATGACTGACATTCAGATGATTGGCAATGGGTTCGTACTTATAGCAATAGCACTTAGACTGATATACCGCTTCACAGTGCTTTTACAGCCCTCTCTAAGTGGTTTTACAGTCAGCCTCTTGCCCTCAGTCAACCTGGCTCCTCATTTTACCCACCTTGGAAGGACGTAAAGGCTGAATCAATCTTGAGCCGGTGAGAATCGAACTCCAGACAGTGGGTAGAGTTGGCCTGTAGTACTGCATTCTAACCATTGTGAAGGAAGGAAGGAAGGAAGGAAGGAAGGAAGGAAGGAAGGAAGGAAGGAACAGCAATAGCACTTATATAAAACACACTGTTTTACAGCCCTCTCTAAGCGATTTACAGAGTCAGCCTCTTGCCTCCAACAATCTGGGTCCTCATTTGACTGACATCAATAGGACGAAAGGCTGAGTCAACCTTGAGCCATTGAGAATCGAACTCCAGACAGTGGCAGAGTTGGTCCACAGTACTGCATTCTAACCACTGCGAAGGAAGGAAGGAAGGAAGGAAGGAAGGAAGGAAGGAAGGAATAGCAATAGCACTTATATACTGCTTTACAGTGCTTTACAGCCCTCTCTAAGTGGTTTACACAGAGTCACCCTAATTTCCATTCCATTCTCTGGCTACAGGAAATAACAAGTCTAAAGATAGCACCCAACCTGAAATGTTTTTATTAGGGATAACCAAAGGAGAATATATGATAGTGAATGAATGTCTAATGATACATATCTTAACAGTAGCTAGAATACTATATGCTCAAACTTGGAAATTAGATAGTACACCCACAGATGACATGATTATAAAAAAAGTAATGGATTGCGCAGAAATGAACAAATTCACAATGGAATTGCAGGAGAAGGAAGATAAAGAATTCTATATGGCCTGGGAAAAGTGGTATGTCTGGTTAGAAAATAGAAAGAAAATATAATGCAAAAGTAGAAGCTTTAAAGTGTAAGTGTAAATAATGTACACTGCTCAAAAAAATAAAGAGAACACAAAAATAAATACTTCATTCATTACATAGTTGAATGTGCTGACAACAAAATCACACAAAAATTATCAATGGAAATCAAATTTAGCAACCCATGGAAGTCTGGATTTGGACTTACACTCAAAATTAAAGTGAAAAAAACCACTACAGGCTGATCCAACTTTGATGTAATGTCCTTAAAACAAGTCAAAATGAGGCTCAGTAGTGTGTGTGGCCTCCACGTGCCTGTATGACCTCCCTACAACGCCTGGGCATGCTCCTGATGAGGTGGCAGATGGTCTCCTGAGGGATCTCCTCCCACACCTGGACTAAAGCATCCCCCAACTCCTGGACAGTCTATGGTGCAACGTGGCGTTGGTGGATGGAGCGAGACATGATGTCCCAGATGTGCTCAATTGGATTCAGGTCTGGGGAACGGGAGGGCCAGTCCATAGCATCAATGCCTTCATCTTGCAGGAACTGCTGACACACTCCAGCCACCTGAGGTCTAGCATTGTCTTGCATTAGGAGGAACCCAGGTCCAATCGCACCAGCATATGGTTTCAAAAGGGGTCTGAGGATCTCATCTCGGTACCTAATGGCAGTCAGACTACCTCTGGTGAGCACATGGAGGGCTGTGCGGCCCCCTAAAGAAATGCCACCCCACACCATTACTGACTCACTGCCAAACTTGGAGGATATTGCAGGCAGCAGAATGTTCTCCACTGCATCTCCAGACCCTGTTACGTCTGTCACATGTGCTCAGTGTGAACCTGCTTTCATCTGTGAAGAGCACAGGGTGCCAGTGGCGAATTTGCCAATCTTGGTGTTCTCTGGCAAATGCCAAAAGTCCTGCACAATGTTGGGCTGTAAGCACAACCCCCACCTGTGGATGTTGGGCCCTCATACCACCCTCATGAAGTCTGTTTCTGACCATTTGAGCAGCCACATGCACATTTGTGGCCCACTGGAGGTCATTTTGCAGGGCTCTGGCAGTGTTCCTCCTGTCCCTCCTTGCACAAAGGTGGAGGTAGCGGTCCTCATGCTGGGTTGTTGCCCTCCTACGGCCTCCTCCACATCTCCTGATGTACTGGCCTGTCTCCTGGTAGCACCTCCATGCTCTGGACACTATGTTGAAAGACACAGCAAACCTTCTTGCCACAGCTTGCATTGATGTGCCATCCTGGATGAGCTGCACTACCTGAGCCACTTGTGTGGGTTGTAGACTCCGTCTCATGCTACCGCTAGAGTGAAAGCACCGCCAGCATTCAAAAGTGACCAAATCATCAGCCAGAGAGCATAGGAACTGAGAAGTGGTCTGTGGTCACCACCTGCAGAACCACTCCTTTATTGGGGGATGTCTTGCTAACTGCCTATGCTTTCCACCTCTTGTCTATTCCATTTGCACAACAGCACGCGAAATTGATTATCAATCAGTGTTGCTACCTAAGTGGACAGTTTGATTTCACAGAAGTGTGACTGACTTGGAGTTACATGGTGTTGTTTAAGTGTTTCCTTTATTTTTTTGAGCAGTGTGAGTATGTGTGTGTGTGTGTATGTATGTCTAGGAAAATGGTGAAACTGATGTCACAAATAACTGCAAAAAATGTATATAGTTTACTTTTTTAAAGGTGAAAATTTAATGAACTTTATTATAAATTTTTTCCATTCCATTCCATTTTCTACTCTATTCTCTAAAACTTAAAAAGAATGTAAAGGAAGGAGCTAAACATTTTGGTTCCATTTTGCAAGTCTTACATGATCTTAAGGCATACATTTTGCACTCTGTCTATAACTCAAGGATCTCCGCACTGAGCTGGATAGATTCCATTTCTACCATTTTACACTTCCAATACCTGAATTTCTACCTATCCAGCACCTATATAAAGAAAAAGAAATCAGCCAGGATGGGGAAGAAAGTGCTACTTTTGATCATTAGCTTGCAAAGAGGAAAAGTACTTTAGCTTTTGTTTTCCGGGTGGTTTTCTGTACCCAAACAACACACAGTGACTCTTTGTTAATTATTTCATTGTCTTCAGCCATGCAAGACTGAGATAAAATAAGATTAAAAAAAATAATAACACTCCATGCTTTTAGGTACAGAAGAAAACAACCACAAAGTTGACAAGAAGCCCTCATAACAAAGAAAGGAGGTTATCCACAAACACATTATGGCCCTCAACAATTATTTACAACTCACGAGAGGAACTAAATATTTAAAATTCAAGGTTGGTTGAGAAAAAAAAATCCACCATATGGGAGAAAAAGAAAACAAAAAAAGGGGATTGAAAAGATCGGATTAATTCAGGAAAATTCACCCAAGTCCATCTGGCCCTACAGATCACTTGAGAAAACAGAATTGTTTCGAACACCCAAAATTGATTTGAGAGAGAGAGAGAGAGAAAGAGCATTTGCAAATCTCCAAATGGGCTTTGAATTTTTATAAATCACTCCCAAGGCAGCTAATTCTACAGGATGATCCCAGTGATTTTAATTCCCCCAATGCAATAATATAATACCATGATGGCAAGCAAACCTGTAGCACGTAGAGCCATTTGTGCTGGCAGGTGAGTTGCAGGCAAACTTACCTCACTGCGCATGTGTGCGCCTCACAGCTGATCTTCTGCCAGTTTGAGGCCTTTTTTGGCTCCCCAAAGGCTTGAGGAAGGCTTCTGCAGGCATTGCAGGCCGAAAACTAGCCCTGTTTAAAAATACCGGAAGTGATGAAACGGGGCTAATTTTTGGCCTGCAAAGCCTGCAGATGCCTTCCTCAAACCTCCGGGAGGCCAAAAAAGGCCTCAAACTGGCCGAAAATCAGCTGTGAGGTGCAATGCAGGTAAGAGGGCAGCGGTGGGTGGGTGGGGATTGCGCAAGCATGCGTAGGGGCATGGGGGGTGCATTGCCTTCTGGGTGCTGGCACACGAGCGTGCAAGCGCGCGCATAATTTTTGGCACAGGAGCCCCAAAAGGTTAGCCACCACTGATATAACAGATCATGCTTTCAAACTCCCCCCATCTTTCCATATGCAGCTCACGGTGCCTTCACAGACTAATCTAGGCCTTGGACACATAAAGACAAGTACAAAGTGTTTACAAATTCCTGCCACTAAGTAGAACATCATCTCTCAAACTTGGCAACTTTAAGATGTTAGACTTCAACTCCCAGTATTCTCCAGCCGCTAGTTTGTGGATTTTTTTGTATACAGTCCCAGTGTATAGCTTCCCATGTTTTACAATGCCTTGTTTTTAAATAAACATTGGCTGAAATACCGGTTAAATCATTAGCTAGCATGGTCATGCTTTATCTTTCCAAACTGCCTGGAAATTTGTTTTGTAGCAAGTTAAATGTTTTTCTTAGAATTAGAGATGTAACAAGGGGGTGGGGGGGAAAACACAAATCAAATTTCTGAAGCCACAGGGCTGTTGGGTGGGTGGAGGTGACAATAACACAATTTAATCCTGCAAATTACAGGGGAAAAAAAAATCCAAATTAAAAAAATGCAATAAATCACCTCTATTTTGCAGATGTTCCTCCATAGTCATTCCCTTCCACTCTGTCGACATTTCTTACTTGTTAGCAAATTTTAGAGGGAGT